AAGAGTTCGCTCCTGCCCACTTGCACCTCTTGGATCCCAACATTTCAATGTCTTGTCCCAACTGCCTGTGATTACTTGTCCTATGACAACAGAAAGAAACTTCATTGATTCATACATTTCTTAAATAAAACAGAAAGCTTATGCTCAATACCCTTTATAGTACATTTCCCCTGAGATATAACCCGTAGCACCAGCAAGATACTATTATAGCCTTCAAACAGTAAGATATATACAATAGGATTCTGTGGAACTTGCGACTAAAATCATCCAATTATGATTCAGTTTGTGTCGATCCTTACAGATATAACCAGCAAATTAAGTTGAACTTCAAGGAAAACACTCTCCATCCACCTCATTTTCTTCTCCAGTTAAACTAGAGGTAAATATATCTGTTCTCTTTTCTTAAAAGTTTGAAATTGAGAATGATATTCTACATGCAGGAAAAAAAAACATATTTTGAATTGCAAAATCAAAGCCAAATCATCTTCAAACCAAATTAAAAGAACACAGTAAATCAAATGAAAAGAGGAGATTTGCTATTTTAAGTTTAACCAACCTGCTGCATAAGAGTACTCTATACAACGCACAGGAGCATCATGTCTACCTAAAATATCCTCCTTTCCATGGCTGAATACTATCCTGCAAAACTAACAGCTTAATCTTAAGCCTGATTCTAAATTCATTTTCCTAAGCATTCTCGAGAACCAAACACAAAAATCAGGGCAAAAACCAAAGTCCAATCAACTAACCTCCTGACGGTATTATCAGTACTAGCACTGAACCCAGATGAATCATCGTGGAAGCAGCAATCCAGTACCGGCCCACCGTGCATGAACTCTCCTCGCAATGAGTTGGCGCTTGCATCGTACAATCTTACAGTCTATGATTAAAAAGAAGCTGTTAATTTAGAAATCAAAGGGAGCTTAAAATTTTAGAAGGTATTGATGTTAAGGGAGCACCTTATCCCATGAGGAGACGAGTAGGTGATCGCTGTGGTTGGAGAATCGAAGGTTGGAGATCCCGTCCGCCGGAGGGTTGGAGAGCTCGCGCCCTGGTGCCGGAGGCGGGTGGACAGATGTCATCGCTTGAGTGACCGTTGGAGAGGTGAGGGCTGACAGTGAGAGTTTTTAGGGTTTTCAGAGAGGGGAAGAGTGTCACTGAGTGAGTGGCGAGAGAGAGGGAAGGAGATTTGAATTTAAAAATGTTATTCAGATCGCACAAAACAAACAAACAAAAAACTTTGGAGGGAGCTTCTGTTTGGCAATTTTTTTCTCTTCACATTTTTTTAAAATTTTATTTTTAAATAAAATTATTTAATTATCCCTTTTTAGATTTTTTTTTTCTATTGTTAAGCTTCGTTTTATAAATTGTGCACCAAGTAAAGATTCCTAAAACTATCATAGCCTAGATGCATGAGAACGAAATGAAAATGAAAATAAGAAAGAGCATTGGAGTTAAACCTAAACCTATCATCTAAAATGCAACTTAAGAATATAAAATTTAGAATGCATATAATAAGGGAACCTCTAAACATTTTTTGATTTGTATATACAAAAATTTTCAGATTCATATATTCAGAAAATTATAAAAAATTTTATCTCAAATCATTAAAATTAAGAAAAAAATAAAAATTTATATGCATAATATTTGTCTATCACTTTGTAAGTGGAATTATAATTACTTAAAATAAATCGTGCTTTTTCTTTATAATATTATAGAAATTCAGTTTTTTTTCAACTTAATTTTATTTTTAAACTCTAAATGTAATTTTTAAAAAATTTTATTTGATATAAAATTTATCGAATATGTATATCAAGAGATTTTTAAATTTTTTAAAAAAAATTATGAAATAATTTCACCTAAAATTAATTAAAGGAAAAGGTGTGGAGAGTACAAATAGGTGTGCAAATAGAAGCACCTAACTTTGAATTCAAAAATAAATGTTTCTATCCAAAAAAATTTCTCTTCACATTCAATTACTAATACCCAAATTTGAAATCATAAACCAACCATCGTATACCCTACTTTTTTCTAAATATACTATTTTTTTTTCAAATTTTTTTGTAAATGAAATTATTTAAATACACTTTTTATAAGTTTTTGATTGTCTACTATTTTCAAAAAATCATAACACTTTGCATTTTAGAAAAATGAAAATTTATAAAAAATTATTTAAATTATTTATAAATTAATGTAATGAAAATTTTATTATTCAAAATCATAAATTTTAAAATTAATAAAAAATTACTTTTACTATTTTAATTTTAGAGAAAAATAAAATCATATAAAGTTCTAATTAAATATTCTATCTCTTAACATTACGAATGATTATGAATGAATTATTATGTCTAATCAAAATATAAGAGCTAAAACTCTTTAAAATTGTATAAATAATATTATTAAATACTACATAATTTTATCAAAATACTATAAAATCATCGTTGCCATATCTTCAACCTCATATGAATATGAGAATTAATAAGAAGGGTGTTGAAAAAATTAGAATTAACTCGAAATTAAAAATCTTCTTAACTAGCATTGCAGGCTTATAAATAAAATAAGTAATATTATTGAATATTACATAATTTTGTTAAAATCTATGCTAATTAGATAAACCCATTATGATAAGTAGATGAAGAGATTTCTCTAAGGAGTTATGTTTAATTAAAATTATTATAAAATTTTAATAATCGATAAAGAATATTTATTAAAAAATAATAAGTTTTAAATTTATAAAAAAATTATATTTACTATTTTATCTTTAATTTAATCAAGGTATTATAAGATACTATTATTTCTCTAAGATAAAAATAGTAAAACTAATTTTTAAAATTTTAAAATTTATATTTTTAATAATAAAATTTTTATTACCTTATTTACAAATAATTTTAACAAAATTTTAATTTTCCGTAATTTTTCATAAAACTTCAATTTTAACATTTTCAAAAATGCTTTGTCGATAAGTGATAACATTTCTCGAAAATACATTTTTAAGATGTATTATGACTTTTTGACAATGAATTTTTTAAAATTATAAAATTTATGAAATAGATATTTTAGTAATTTCACTTTAAAAAAATAGAGAGTATAAAAAAAAATGTGGGCGCATTTAAAATTCCTTTCACTCGTTACACCCAATTCTAACATTTTTCATTTTTTCTTGATACCCTTTACACCCATTTTACGAAACCCTGTTTTCTTCGATCCCTAAAATCAAATCATCAATAAAAATCAATCACAACTTTCAAGCTAATCCAACTAGTAAATTCCTCTATTGAGGTAAATTTTCTTTGACTTTTCTTAAATTTTTTTCAAATTGTATCTGGATTTATTGTATTATTCATGAAATCAATAATTATGAAAAAAATTTGTAAATTATTTGGGTTTAATGAATTTGATTTTTCGTAAATTTAAAAGGTTTTATGAATTTTTTATTTTTGTATGCCTTCAAAAGCATATAGAAATGCAAATTCATAAGCTTACGAAGGTATAAGGAAATGCAAATCTATGTGCTAAACTCATAATTCAAAAATATGTTTTTGTAATATTCAAATTTATTACATTGAAATCATGAACGCACCAACTTACCTCATAGTTTAGTTTATTAGAAGTTTTCATCTCCATCAATAATTTTTTTCCATATGAGTATCCGTTTTCACCATGCATAAAATAACAATAGTAATTTTAATTTTGATTCAAGATTTTTGAGATGATAAGTTTTTTTTTTTTTTCTTATTTCAAGAGGAGTAGAGCATTACAACAAGGGGGAGGTTGGGGTCAAACTCCGGTCTTATGTCTTCTTAAGGCTTGTTTGGCTATTAGATCAAACAATTAAAGACGATTTTTGAGATGATAAGTAATTCAATGGAAATTTATTTTTTGTAACAAAAAATTTGAGGTATAGAAAGAAAATTTGTTGGGAACAAATAGAGGAAAAAGGATCTTCTATGTGTATTTAAAAATCAGTGAATTTTTGAATTACTTTATCTAAAGATAAATAATACACTTTCAATTAAATCAATGGTTGAAATTTAATAATTTTAAATTAAATATAAAAATTAATTAAGAAAATAAAAAATAATTTAAACAAATATTAACTACAAATTTAATTAAAAATACATTTATCACTTTTAGATAAAAATAATAAAATCCTTATTGATTTTTAAGTAGAAACAGAATAATCTTTCCACGAAGTTCCCTAAAAAAAAGAGAAATTTATTTACACCCTCATTTTTACATTATACTCCCTATTACTAAATATACCCAACATTCAATTTTTAAATTTTTTATTTATATTAAATACATCTCATCCCTCAATAATTGATTTTTCTTTTATACCTTTAACATTTTTTCTTCCTTTTTTCTTATTCTCTTTTCAATCTCAAACCCAAATTAATTAAAAAATTATATATTTTTTAGTCTTCCATTGATTAAAAGTAAAATTTTAAAATTTATTTCATTTGATTTAGTTTAAATGGATGAGAAAATAAGTTATAATTTATGAAATGGATTTTGCAAAATTTGAGCTTTTTTGAAAATGAATTTTGTGGCTCCTGGAAATCTATTTATGAGAAATCTCATTTTTGAAAATAAAACATAAATTTTTTAATTTATTAAAAGATAAATTTGGGTGAAAGAGGATACAAACATAAAAAAAAAATCATATTTGATTGGGTATAAGAGAAAAGAATGATAAAAGAGGAAGAAAAAAAAGAAAAGGGTAAAATTGACATTTATAATATGTATATTTTTAGAAGAAAATTGATGGAGTGTATAGAGAAATTTAGGTGGTGTATTTAGAGGCCCTTAAAAAAATGAGTTAGTATTTCCCTTTACCCAAAACGCTCATTTGTTAGTCATGTAATTACACCAATGCCATTTTATGGACCGATTGTTTCCTAGCTTGTTAGTCTACTTGGGTTTGGCCCAAATAACAAAGACCAGCCCAGCCTGTCCCCAAACCAACTTTCAACGGTCCAATCAAATAATTCTCAAATCCTAATTGGCAAAAGCCGCAAATCGAAGAAAGGTTTTCTTTTCAGTGTAGTTCGCGTGAACCAACACAAAGACTCATCAACTAACTCAAAGCGTCCATTTTTTTTTTTTTTCTGGTAAAATTAAATTTGTCATATTCCTCTCAACTCAGATCTTCCCTTTTTTTTTTTTTAATTTTTTTCTTTTTGATCTTCTGCTTACCATAAACCCTAGGTGATTTTCACCTTAATCCATTTCTAAAATCCGTAGCTTTGTAAACAGCGGAATCGAACTCCGGGTGACCGATCCCGCCCTTGCTTACTTCTCTATGCAATGGTGGTCTGCAAATGCCGCAAGGTATTTTCTTTTTTAATCAAATTGATCTCAAATTTTCGCGCTGTAGGTTTACATTTCTTCGTGGTGATATTTTATTCATTTATTTTTGAGAAATTTGTGTTGGAATTTATAATTCATCGCTGGAGGTTTTAGATCTATCAAAATTTTTGTTTATCGTGTTAAAAGATTTTACGACTTTTCTGATCTTCGTTGCTTAATTTTAGAGTTTATTAATTGGAATACACGAATCTGATTACTTTAATAAATGAATCGAACGGAGGGGGACATTGACCTTGATGGTTGGAGGGTTCAAGTGGAATGTCGCTTGTTATGTTATAAATTTAGTAGTGTCTATTGCATGGGATAAATTTCAGAGCTGATGTTGTTGGTTGGGATAGGAGATTTGCAAATATCTCATTGTGTAAACATCCATTCCTCCTTTTGGTGTTTCAGGCGACAAAGTTATATTGTTTTGTGCACAAGGTTCCTGTTTGTGGAGAATGCATATGCTTTCCTGAGCACCAAATATGCGTGGTAAGTTTCTACATTCTTATCATTTTGCACTCAAAACTGTATTTCCAAGCACTTTCACTTGATTTAAAAAAAGGAGTGGTTACACTACAGTGACTAGGAGCAAAGACAATAATAATCCTATCCATACCTGGAAAATGACGAGATGGGGGTGTTTAATAGGGGAGGTTTTTGCATAGTTAGAACTCTTCTTGTAAAAGCTCTTTTTGGGTCATGAATTATTTTTGGTTGATGTACAACCTTTTTTGCAACTATATGTCTCATGATATGTTGGATTTGTTAATAACTTTTACTTCCTTTATGATGTATCTCTATGTGCATTTTTCTAAATTATATGCAATATCATGAAAAAAGCTTTTGTATGATTTGAATATGCCCATTTCTGCTGTGTGTATTTAACAGTGTTATAAAACAATTCTGAGTGGAGATGTTGTATAGAATGCTGTTTTGGCGCTTATAATGTATTTTTATTTCCACTTGGCTCTAGATTCGTACTTACTCAGAATGGGTAATAGATGGAGAGTATGACTGGCCTCCCAAGTGTTGCAAATGCGAAGCTGTGCTTGAGGAGGGGGCTGGCTCTGAAACCACTCGGTTGGGTTGCTTACGTATGTGTTTATACTGATGTAGATACTGCCTCTAGTTTTTTTTGTTTTTTTCTTTTCCTTGCAAACAGCATGTTGGACTTGTGCTTTATAATCTCACCGATTTTTTTTGCTACTTTAGATGTCATACACACAAATTGCTTGGTTTCACATATCAAAAGCTTTCCTCCGCACACTGCCCCCGCTGGCTTTGCATGTCCTTCATGTTCTACATCTGTAAGTTTTCTAAAAACTGTTTATTATATTATCACCATGAATCATCTGTTTAATAGCAACATGCTTTTGTTTACTATTGTTTCAAGTGATAAATATGTGTTCATGAAATTGATGGTTACAATGATATTGAACCTTTAAAGTAGTTGGAAGCATCTAGATGCTAAATGTGTCTAGGCTTGAAAGTATTGATGGATAAGAGATGGTTTACCATTATAAAACTAATATGGTGCTGCTTCTTCTTTTGGAGCAAGTCATATGAATAGTTAGTGGAGGAAAACTCCTTTGCCGAGTAGCATTTTTCTGCTAACTTTATTTAATTGGAACTTTACCACGGGCTTAGCCAAAGCAGAGGATAGAGATTGATAATGGAACAACATGTAAATTACACTGTCTCATGTGCGAGAATTCCTATGTTCTGTTACTTAAGGACTCAAGACGGTAAAATTTTCTTGTGGCATTCTTCAATTTGTATATTTATATGCTTGGATTATAGCATTTATGTGTGATGGTCTTGGTTATAATTTCTGTCGGTATTTCTTCTTTGGCTTGTTTCATTTTGCAATGGTTTCTTGCCCAGATATGGCCTCCCAAGAGTGTTAAAGATTCAGCATCCCGTCTTCATTCACTGCTGAAGGAGGCTATTATGCAGGTGAGTTCATGCTTGATTTCAGCTGTTACAAATAACTGCTCATTCTAAATATAAAGTGAACTTTGGATATCCTTTTTTTTTTTCAATACTTTTTTTATAACAATATATTCATCTGCTTTTCCTTAATTACATCATTTGGTTCTTTATCATATCTTCCATGGGTGCTTCATAAGTCCTGCATTGCCACTTGCCAGTTGTAAATTGTAATTCAGTTGTTATGCTTATCAGCATGTAGCCATGTACTGATTAAACTTGATTTTGGCCTGTCAGTGGTTGATTGTGGATTTAACGGTTCCCTTGATAGAGGTTTCCAAAATGCATGCCATATAATCTGCTAAGAAAATTTCTTCTGTCAAATGCATTGATCAGCAGAAACAACTTCTTCCAATGAAAGTTATTGTAAAATGCAGGCCATATGAGTCCACTATGGCCAAATCTTTTCTTTCCTTGTCCGCTAAAAGCATTGAACTGCAAGAAAGTTTCCGAAGTCTCATTTCACATGTTATTTCAAGCTTATAAAACTCAAATTTTAGCCACTAGAATTTTGCAGATCCCAGTATGTGGGGTGGCCGCTCAATCTTCTTATGCTTCGAAATGCTGAAGGTCTTTGATTGCCTCTGAAATTAACATCTAAATATGTGTTGATCATCTATAAGAAGCGCATGCAGGAAAAAAGTGATTTGGATTGATTGGAGTTTAGCATTCTCTGTTAGATTGATTGTAGTTTACACTTTTGGCTGAAATGAATACAATTAGAGTTCTTATCAATTTTCTTATCTGCTTAAATAAATTTTAAATGACTTAACTTGCTAACGTGCAGACTGGCATGGAGAAGAATTTGTTTGGAAATCATCCTGTTTCTGTGCCTACAATAGAACCGCGTGGTCCTCCACCTGCATTTGCTTCAGATCCACTGATAAATGTATCCTCAACTGGAGGAAGAGAGTATGATGGGAATTCATCACCCTCTGTGGCAAAAGATGGACACTCAGCTGTTGGAGGATCTTCTAAACTTACCGTAACTGAAATAATGGAGATAGATGGTCCTAGTTCAGCATACACGAAAACTTCAAGTCCTGTTGCTGTAAGTCTTTTTTTTTTTTTTTGTTAATTAGTGGATGTGAACTGAGTTGAGTTGTTCAAGTCATGTTATGCTTTGCTTGCTTGTATGTGTCAATACCAGTATGTTAGTTGCTTGTTTTCTTATCTTGGGTGTTTTGTTCTATGTTGCTATGTAACCCAGCCTGTGGCTACAACACGAAAAAGTACAGTTCATGTTGATCGACAAAACTCTGAAATCTCATATTATGCAGATGATGAAGATGGAAATCGTAAAAAGTATTCTCGGAGGGGTAAGTTAAAAATGCCTTGGTTCATGAAGCCGTTATGCTCTCTGATTGATTAGAACTTTCCAATTTGTTCTTGCTGTGACCTACTATTTTTGTTTCTGAGCTTTTCTTAATGCATTCATCTAAGGTGCTGTTTGTAATGGAGAACTTAGATAAGATAATATTTGTTATGCCCATATCATGATTTATTGCATTCTCTGATGTCATATTCATGATTCCTTTTATTGTACTTATAATTTATTGTTGTAGGTCCACTTCGTCATAAGTTTCTTAGAGCATTGATTCCCTTCTGGTCAAGTGCATTACCAACTCTACCGGTGACTGCACCTCCACGTAAAGATGCATCAATTGCAGATGATGTCCCAGAGGGTAGGTTGAAGCATCAAAGATCAACACGGATGGATCCAAGAAAAATCCTTCTTCTCATAGCAATCATGTAAGTCTACACTTTTTTTTTTTTTTATATATTATTATGCATAAGCACCAATGCCATGCTAACCCACCAACCTACATTTGCTCGCATGGAAGTACCTTTCTCTCTTGTGCATGCATTTGCCCATTTCTTATTAGCATGCATCTCTCTTTGTGCTTATGTATCCATCTGTGCTTGTGGTCTGTGGAAGCTGCAACTCATATCTGGATAAGATACCATTTAAGAGGGACAGATTGAAATAATGGGGGAAAAGATCGTAGAAAATTTTCTAAGCAGATTCAGTTCTCTTGTTACTGAATTGGGTTCTTGGTCCAACTGGCTTGCCCTTATTTGTCATGACTTTTGGGTTTTATGGGTTCCTTTATGCTGACTACTAGCTGTATCTTTGTGCCACTCTTCTCTTGAGAATTAAATGATGGACCATAGACAGCGGATGTCTTCGTATAAACTGCAGATTTAAAATGGAAGAAATTAAAGCTCAAACTTACTATATTGGTTATATGGTTATATTTGAAAATAATGAACAAATAGAATGAAATGTTACATCACCGTGTATCAATTATGTTTTGTAGGGCCTGCATGGCTACTATGGGTATTCTGTATTACAGAATTGCACAAAGGGCCCTTGGCAATGGACTAGCCGATGACGAGCAGCAGTAACTATTTAAAATTGTGATGAAATTGGAGGACATTATGTTTCTTGCTTCTACAAATCATGTTGGTTATTGCTATTGCTGCTACTATACCTGCCTTTTTCTCTGCTCAGCCCCATCTTATCTTTGCCCTGCAAAGAGCATTGGTGGAAAACACAAGTAGATTGCGGAGAATTCATCACCCATTCGCCCCACCTTTTAAAATTTTTTTATTTGGTGTGGATACAAAAAAAAAAAAAAATCTATTTAGTGAAGTTAAAACTGAAAGTTACATAGCTTTTCTTGGCCTTTTTCTGACCTGTTTTTTTTTTTTTTAACGTTTGCCCCCTGTTTTGGAGTTGAAATGAATAACATTTTAAAGGCGAAAATGTTTTGTTTGAACGGAGTTAATTTGTAATTATCGGTTAAGTTAAAATTCCTTAATCCAGTGGATTAGATCTCTGAATTATTATTAAGCTAAAATTATGGTCGTTGGGTATTGTTTCAAACAATTAGGTAAGTTGGTGTCCTTTGTGCTTAGTCCTTTAATAATGAACACTGAACTCCGTTTCTTAAATAATTACGATTTGTCCCCTTAAATATGTGACAAATTATAATTAGTCTTCCATTATTCCAATTAGATTTTTATAAAAACGTCAGTTATAAAACAACTTAAAAATTGCTTCAATTGGAACTTTTTTAATTGACTTTAAAAATTTATGCTTATAATTATAGAAAAAAGATTATAATTTATTTACATGTAAAAAAATCAAGAATTTAATTTCATTTTTTAATTAAAATTTGAGGCAAATGGGGTGTTAAGCCTAATTCTTTATTATTTAACTCTTGCATGAGAAAAGTGCATTCCACTAAACTAATTAATACTATAAATATATAAATAAATAAATAATATATATATATATATATATATTATAAGTTGGTAATTAAAGTGGGAAACATGTTTCCGGAATGGTACCCCTCTGGTAAGCATTAAGTCCAAAGCAAGAAAATTAAATATAATTGGAGATAAAGAACCTTATATAACAAACAAGGCCAACTTTGATATAACTATTTGGCTCTTAAATATGACATTAGGCCTTATTGTAGTTTACCTTGAACAGCGAAAAATATAATTAATTTCTTTCATGCAAGTATTTTTATATATTTAATTTTTTTTTCTATAATCAAGTATGACATCTATATAGTCAATTGAATAATCATCTATTACATTATAATTAAGTTACAGTTATCAAATAATTAATTAACAAACTAAAATATAATTAAACAACTACACGGGTGAGGATATTCTCTTGTTAGTTATTATTGGAATTTATATACTAAATGAAATTTAATGATACGCTATGTTGTTTTTTTTTTTTTTTCAAATATAAAATATACTATTTTATAAATTTAGGACTTAATTTAGTTACATTATAGTTTGTCCGTTGCCGATGATGCAAAAAAGAGATCTTAAAATTTTGAGATTCTAGGTTCTGTGTCTCAGCTGTGTGTAAATTTGATTATTTAGTTATATTATAGTTTAATAATTGATTATTCAGTAATTATAATTTGATTAAGAGGTAATAGTTAATTATTCCGTTGATTTTATAATGTAATACTTGATTCATTTCCAAGTATTATGTTAATCTAAATTCTATTAAACATAAAGGAATGATGATTAAGGGGATAATATTTTTATTATATAAGTGCAATTATGCACAATTTATGCAAATTATAAAGTGTCCCCTGGGCCTTTTTTAATGGTTTTTAGACCAAAATGCTAAAAAAAAGTAATGTACCAAAAATAATTTCATGGATTGCATAAACTGGTACGTGTAATACTTTAATATGATATCAAAATATTGTAAAATTTTATTGTGATATATACGTAAAAATCTATATTCATATTTATAAAATATTTTTTATAAAATAAAATCATGAGATTTTTGAATTTAAATGTATAATATCATGTAAGTATAATGTGAATCTTCACGCCATTAAAAGAAAAAAGAATAAAAATGAGATTATTATCATGCAAGAACAACAAAATCAGATTCGATGAGTTTCCAGAATAGTTGCAGTGCTGCTGAGATTTTATTCCTATGTTTGTTCTTAGTATGAATTTAGCAACAGATCGTCCAATGGCTGGCGTTATTTTCAGCTTTAGAATATTTGATTATGAACACTATAATTTCTCTATTTAATTTGCCAATAGCTATTATCATGTGATTATATATATATATATATATATTTTGGACTGAGTGTTAAAGAGTTTTTAAATTTTATTTCATATATATTTTTAAATTTATTTAATATATATTTTTAAATTTATTTATATCAAATTTAATAAATTTATAAAAAATTATCTTCACATATTTCTCGACGAAACTCCTTAATCACATTGCTTTTATTGGTTTTTGCCCGTTAGTGAGATCTTGTCGTTCCTTTTGCAATCAGTCGCATAAAACATGCACATTCGGACCAGTTCATCTCATTGCCTGATTTTTGTTTTACTATATGATCAAATCTCAAAATGAAAAACCACAAAAATTTTTTTAAATGATTAAGGAAAATTATTTTCTTACAATAATTCAAAAAATTTTTACAGAATAAATGATCAAGTAATAATTCAATACTGTTTTTTAAGAAAAATAAAAAGATGAAAATTCTTAAAGCAAATGGGGGTAAAAATGACAATTTAATTGTTAATAGAGTTTGAAGCAAAGAGATAAATAAATATTTTATACAAGTAACAGTATACGTAAGACCTTAAATGATGAAAACATAATTATTTAAAACTAAATATATAAATAAAAATAAAATTTTATGTTTATCATATTCAAGTCAAGGCGCCGCACGTCTCTCCATTGCCAGGTGTGATTCTCCTTTCCTTTTCCCTCTTCACAAAATCTGCTTGTTCGTTCTTTGCCTATATGATTGACCAATTCATCTCTAATTTTAGATCGTTTTCTCGACTCCTAAACCATTTTCTTGAAAGTCCTGGCCGTTCCAGGCAGCTGAAAATATTGCATTATTTTAGTGTTTCTGAGTTGTGCTTGGGCCAAATGCTTTTGATGACATTCTTCACGGCTGTTGGGTGTATATTTCACTTTATCCTGTTTCTCTTACGGACCAAAAACAATTCGAGAGCTTCTCTTGGTAGTAACTAGCAAGCACTTGGAAACCAAAACCCATTTCTCCTAAAAGATTTCGAGGAAAAAGAATGGATCCTGTTAGCCGTGAAGTAATAAATATAATAACGTAAAAATAATATATCATAATAAATTTATAATAATAGATAATAATCAATAATTAATAACGTAAAAAAAATAAAGTATACCAAAATTTAAGTGAAAAATTTTAAAAAAAAAAATCACGGACCAATAAAAAAATTTTCATTATCAAATAATAGATATATAAAATTCTTCTCTAATTAAAACTAGAGCTAATTAATAATTAGAGAGATAATTGAAGAAATCTCATCAAATAGGTGACTCAACAAATATATTATGGATTTATTCTTAGAGAGCTTCAAACTTGATCTTCACTGTTTAGAATGTAAAACTCTGAATCATAAATCTGCTGATAAAGTTTCAGCTCAATCGAATCATGGATCAATTTTCGTTCAATTAACTCTCCTTTTCTCTCTATTTTTCCTAATTTTTCTTCTTTTCTTGGTTTTGCTACACTACTTTAAAATAGCCTCACCTCTTTTTATTAAGTAGCTAAGGCTCTGTATAAAAAAAAAAGACCAAGGCCCATGACCTTTGATTGATCCAAAACCATTACATGGGACTGGATCTCGTCTTCCTAATAATCTCTCCCTCTAACCCCATTAGGAGGAGATTCATCACCATGGCAGTTTCATTTGGAACTTACTTTGGTTAAGGAACTTATTTTTATTGAGTTACTGTAGAGCTTAAGCTTATCCTTAGAAAGTGTCTTAGTCAACATATTTGTTATATTCTCATCAGTATGGACTTTCTTCAATAGTATTTGATGTTCCTTAGTTACTGAATGTAACCAGTGATATCTAACATCAATGTGCTTTGTTTTAGTATGATACATGATATTTTTACTCAAATCTAAAGCACTCTGACTATTACAAAATACCATATACTCTTTCTGATTCAATCCCAATTGAAGAAAAAAATGTTTCATCCAAAGTATTTTTTTATTTGCTTCAATTGTTGCAATATACTTAGCCTCTGTAGTTGATAAAGCAGCACACTTCTGTAACTTAAACTGTCAAAACACAATTTTTACTACAAAAGTGAACAAATATCCTGAAGTAGATTTTTTACTAGCCATGTCAGCATCGGTAAATCCTTTTAAAACTGATTGTGAAACTCCATAACTTGAGTATATTTTTTAGGTGCCTATCAAATACCTAAAAATTTATTTTTTAACTTTTCAATGAACTTTTCTCGGATTAGAAAGAAATTTGTTCACTACACTAACTGTATGAACAATGTCAGGCAATGTATAAACCATAAGATACATCAAAGAATCAGCTGCAAAAGAATAATGAATATTAAATATAGTTAGTTGCTCTTTCTTAGATATCGGACAAGATTTCTTAATCAGATAAAAATGATTGGCAAGTATACTGCTAATTGATTTAGCATGTTATATGTTGAATCTACTAAACACCCTTTCAACATACTTTTCTTATGACAACCATAATTTTTTAGTTCTCTTATCTCGGATAATGTCTATACCAAGAATCTGCTTTGCTGGACTTAAATTCTTCATGTCAAATGACTTAAATAATTGTTCTTTTAATCTACGAACTATACTAGCATCTTGTCCCATAATCAACATATCATCAACATATAATAAGAGAATAATAAAGTTACCATCAAAATATTTTTTGATATACACACAAGGATGCGCTATTATTCTTTTATAGCTATGGCTCACTATAAAAGAGTCAAACTTTTTATACCACTATCGTGGAGCTTGTTTCAAGCCATACAAGTTTTTTTTCAGTTTACAAACTAAGTGCTTTTTCTCTTTCATTTCAAAACCCATAGGCTGATTCATATAAATGTTCTCCTGAAAGCCACCATGCAAGAATGTAATTTTAACATCAAGTTGCTCAAGCTCAAGATTCAAACTAGCTACTAATCCCAATACCACTCAAATGAAACTCATATTAACAATTGGAGCGAAGATCTCATCAAAATCAATGCTTAGTTTCTGAGAAAAATTTTTACCACGAATCAAGCTTTGTACATCACTAGTTTGTCACCATTTTTTTTTTAACTTGAACACCCATTTATTTTTCAACGACCTCTTCCATTTCGAAAGTTTAACAAGATCATAAGTACAATTTTTCTGCAATGACTCAATCTCTTTTTTCATTACTTTTAATTAGTGTTTTCTATCCAGAGTAGCTTACACATATTAAAAGCTCTCTAGCTTCCGCTCACTAGTAATTAAAATAAAATTTAAACTTGGATATCTAGTAGATGACCTGTTCTCTCTAGTAGATCTCCTAGACTAAAATTCTACACCACCTGATGCCAAAGGTAGCTCCTCCTACTCAACACTTGCTAGTAGAGAGGGTTACTCTTCCTGCTCAAAACTAATTGCATTTGACTCATCACTAACTGTGGTTGGCTCATTCATATCCCCAAGTTTTATTTTTTGCTCATTTTTACATCTGTGGCTCTTTCCTG